CCTCCACGCTCCCACGCCCACGCCCACGCCCACCCGCCCAGCGCGCGTCGCACGCAGTGTTACTTTTTGTTTAGGGCGACTGATGGCTCTTCGGAGGCCCTTCAGGGCAAAACAAATGAAATGAATTTTTAGTTAAGTGAAAGTGAACGAAATGTTTTTAATCCATTTTGGAGTTCAAGGGTTTTGGTCACAATAAGACAGTTTATTTAAGTTTGGAGACGTGACGGCGTGTTTTTCTCCATCATCAGGGCTAAATGCAGTGACAATACGTTAAAACAATGTGTAACATTAATTTTAACAAGTACATTAAAGCACACACTAGCTAAATCACTGGGATGTTTTTAATGATTTTAATATCCTACCATCACCTCATGATCATCTCATCGTATATTTTTGTATAATTCCGTAATAAGTATCTATTATATTTATCTTATCTTTATTTTATTATCTACTATACATGAATAGCATAGTACAATGTATAACAAACTGTATCTAGGTATTCGGACAGTGGATGTTGTTAGAATGACACCATTCCCAAAGAAGTGAATGAAAATTTCTAGGTCAACCACAATGGGTATAAATTAACAGCATACTCGGAAGTGCGCAAATATTCAACTACTTTTTATCCGACTTTCAAACTAGTTTCCATAACGGTTAATTACGTAATATAACTTCTTAGTATTTCTTGCCGAATATGTTCAAAGAACATTAGGTGATACATTTCACAAACGGAGGCTGTTTTCTCTAGTAAAGGATGAAATAAGACACGGTAACCTCGATACTACGAAATCGCGTCATTTCGTTACACTGCACATGCATTACTGCCTAATTTGACGTTAAAAAGTGTCGCACCTATTATATGAAGCTCATGAGATTTTATGGGGCTTCTGTCCCTCCACATCAGAAGCCGATGATACATTGTCACTATTCAACCATATCTAGTTTTTACTAATTGTCTATGTAAAGAAAGCCATTCAATATCTCAGTCGAATTCGATATAAATAATACTTTTTAAATTCAACATAAATGAAAAAAAATATTTATAAGAAAACGTCCAGTCAGCTGCCTACGGCTCCGGCAAGAAGAATTCTAGTTGCGCTTCTGCATAGTACAGTAAAAGCGTCTCAAATATTTTTATCATTTCGTCGGACTCCTTAACTTCAACCGAAACTATGTTGCGCTTCCCAAACAAACATACTTCACCGGGACACTACAAAGCGGAAAACCGGCAATGATACGAGCGTCCCCAGGGTGAAGGACCTGATAATTTTATCTAAAGCAAAGGCATGAGACATACCTCAATCCAAGGCAAACCAACAAAGGCCTCTTAGCATTCAACGACATATCAATAACGGACGTTTATCACGGCCGAGCAAACGCGAAGTGTCGGGCTACTCAGTTAACGACGGCGCTTTCGCTTTGGAACCTCATCGTGAAGCCACAGCTAATTCACAAAGGCACGCCGTGCCACGCCACGCCGCGCCACGCCACGCCACGCCGCGCCACGCCACGCCACGCCGCGCACAACCAATAAATGACGATCGCGTCACTGGTTCGCCCGCTCCTGTGCGCGGAGGTGCACGTGGGAAAACAAAAGCGAAGCGCCGTCGTCTGCGTCTGCAAAGATCGTCTACCTCTCCGCCGTCGCAGTCGCGGCGCAGGAGAACAAAGGAGACGAACTAAAGACAGGATGGAGCTCGATGCAGCTTGAAGCAAATCCTTAAACCGGAGGTTGGTGAAGATGACTAATTGTGTACAGGTAGTGCCGGATTACAGGTCGCCTTGAAGTTACGAGGAGTCTGCCTGACTTTGAAGACGAGGAGGCTCGAAAAGGAAGAATATTTTTCTTTGCATTGTATTACAGATAACATAATCATAAAAGGCGTTGACTGGAACTGATAAATGGAAACATGTAAATGACATTAGAATATCTTTGTTAAACTACATTTGATACACAAGTTTACTATTCCATACGAGTCGAGTTTTAATAGAACCTCATGTACAGAAAAGATATACGATGTTGTTCTAATACTAACCGGCCGCCATTAAAATTAATTAAAGTTTTAAATTAAACTATTATTAAGCAGCCTCTATTATTAATATATTTTGCTTTTATCAGTTGACGCTAATAAAATTGTTTGCTGACCTATTGACGCTGACCTATTGTTTCCGAAGGAATTAATCAAAGATCATACACGACAATAGACAAAAATCTATGCAACCTGTGCGTCTACAGGCAACCCTCGGTTCCCTACGACACATGCTCATGAATGACACGGTAAATTTTCTACGTGCAACGTCAGATCTGAGCTCACAATTCTGTCAAACAAGAAGCTGAGTGACATGTACAGGCTACATCGACCAATCAAGTGAGCTGTCTCCAACACGAAAAAATTATTGATTTATTAACTATAATAAATCGAGTAAACTCGACACGTACGCTATTCTAGCATAACTCGCGGAAAACATGGAGCAATATAAAACAAATTTAGCACGAATACTTTAGAGCGACACAAAAAATCACAAACCAATTTTTAAAAAACCTTTCGCAATTCAAAATTTATAGTTTCTTTTACACAAATTTTCGTATACTGCAACCCGCACTGCGTGTATGCTTTAAGGGCTTGCATTGCGACCTTTCGGGGGTGAGGGCAGTAACGGGGTTCATTTCTGTGTTTTGTCTTTCCTCCGTCTGAAATATTTCCACTCGTTCTTTCGATCACCTCGTGACCCATTTTTCTCATAACATATTCAAACAAATCATTCAATTTCCGATCACCATCACGACAAGTAGTTTCGGAAACGATCTTTCCACTCCCGCAGATTTGCCCTCGAGACGCCTGCCGATCCAGTTGCGTGACCTCACGCAGGAAGCCACCCCGAATGACGGCGGCGGGCGTCGCATCCGCGCATAACCCTCGGCTCGTTACGGAGTCCGCGGCGACGCCCACCCCGCCCCGCTCGCCCGACCGCCCGCCGGCCGGCCCGCCTCGCCCTTATCCCGCTCCGCCCCTACTCGCTCCGCACTGCCCGCCCGACCCACCCGGCTAAATTCTGCTCAACCCACCCTCCCCCCGCCGCCCGTCCCACTCCCCGGTTGACCGCCCCGCCCGCTCACCCATCCCGCCCGGCTCGTTCCCTTCCCTCTCACCCCGTTGGCCGCCGCCTCAACCTTCCTCCCCGCCCACCCCCCCGTCCCGCCCTCACCCATCCGGTCTGCCACGCGTCCGCCGCCTTCGGCCCCAAGCGGCGCGGCGCGGCACGGGATCATCTGGGCGCTGGCCGTTTATGGACGTCATCTGCCGGACGGTCGATCGGCGCTGCGCCCGAGGAGCGACGCGACGGCCATATGCTCCGCCAAGAGCACGTAACTCTCCGCGGAATTTGACACGTAACTGCTCACGAGAGCTCTGGGCGGGAGGAGAAGAGGAAATGGGATGTGGAAGGAAGTAGGGATTCTGTTTAGGAAATTGCAAAGGGTCAGCGCGTTTGAAAACCTCGGGTGGATAAGCGAGGATGTGGACTGTAGAGCAAATTAATCAGCCCAAGGCGTACAAACTGGATTAATATTAATAATATCGTAATATACTAAATTTACGTCGTATTTTTAACAGATTGTGGCATGTCAACATATCAGTATTATACCTCCAGGTTAATCTAGAACTAAAAACGGGAATATATGCAGAAGAGGTAATACAAAACCGACCATTTACGTAAAGATAATCAAAACGATGAAGATAGTTCTAAGATAGTTAAAATGACGAAGATAAAAATAATTCTTGACTTAGAAAATCATGAAATATAGGCTAAACCGAAGAAATAATTGAGTGAGTGGAGAAAGGAAGGAAGGAAGGAAGGAAGAAAGAAAGAAAGAAAAATAAAGAAAAAAGATTGAAAGAAAGAAAAGAAATGTTTATAGAGTAATTCTGTTAGGCTCTGCAATGTTAATTACTTGGTAGCGTATTTTGCACAAAAAGGTCACTGAGGCACATTAATATGCGTGCATTCTGCGAACAGATGGGCCTGTCATTTCAAAGCGATCGCGCGGAAGCAGCGTTTAGATTATGGGGGCGCAATATGTCGTGATGAATATCTGAATATTTCTGAATGATCCCAATCGTAGTTGCAGCGGGCGCATACGCAATAAACATCATCAATGAATTGTCGACTGATGTTCAGAGAATATAGAATGGATGTGGCTGAAATGCCGTGAGTGAGATTAAACAATTTTCGGAATTAATTGAAATTCTCTCCCGCGGTTTCCCTAGGTTACGATCGCATTAACATTGCTGTAGTCTCCACATATGCAGGACGCGAGAGAATAGAAGTGGCTGAATGGTCATCATTAAAATGATCGTTAGGAACACGTTCTACAGAATGTTATAAACCTGCGCTCTTATTCAGATAACAAAGAGATATTACGCTGAAACTACACGTGACGAGTTCAGTCATAGCACAATAGAATCAGGGAATGAAACATTTATATGAGAGCATATAAGAACGACTTTTAAGAGATTATTCGAAAAGGATTATTTTTAGATAAAACAGGAACACAGATTTCAAATATCTCTTGCCTAGTGAGTTGTTCCTAGAGATAATTCCTCAAATAATATTAAAAGTACAATTCATAAACCGCGATGAAATGTCAATTTTAACTGGACGCAAACCACAACAACACAAAGGAGACGGGTATTCTTCACCAAATTAGATTTTTGAGTGGATTATGTATACGTACCTTTGAATCTACCGTTATGGTCATAAAAAATAATGCTCTAACACACGCCAAAGCCATCAAGCCATTTTCATGTCAGGAACATTATTCCAGCAAAAAAAACCTCTCAAAAGCCGCGTGGCTTCGTCGCTAGACGGCGACGCAGCTGCGCCCGCGGTCCACGGGACGCAGCAGGAGCCAATCGCGTCGGAGAAGCCTTTTTCGCCGTCGGAGCGCAGGTGCGGTGCCGCACGCAGGGCTCGACTCCGCCGCACCAGCGCACCTGCCACACGAAGGGCTACTGGTGCTCGTTGGACAAATTGCGAGTGAACACTCGAGGACCTATAAACCGTTACACAACGATCACTCTAAAAAATATTCATATTATTTTTACTGAAAATTAATACGATGAATATAAAGTTCAACATAGAACGAACGATATAGTTTATGTACATATTTAATCATTAATAGGCTCCATAAGATAATGGTAGAGCGCCAGGCTGAGGTCAGACGCGGGATTGTGAATCGAGAATATCGTTCCGATCGAATTCTTCAGCTTGAAGGCTTGACGTTCCATACACAAACAATCTTGATTATTTTAATCAGAACAACCTTAGACATAAATTGAGACGAAAACGAGATTAAATTGAGACGAAAACGAGATTAAATTGAGACGAAAACGAGATTAAATTGAGACGAAAACGAATTTAAAGCAGACAAAAGTGAAAGAGAAAAGAGTGAAAAGGAGAGGGAGGGACGGACGTTGGGAGAGAGGGAGGGAGAGAAAGAGGGAGGAAGGGTGGGCGGAAAGGAGTGTAAAACAGACAGACGGGAGAGAGAGACGACTAGTGATGAAGTTGGGTGTGAGGATACAGTGTCTTGGAGCTTACACACACTATTCATATCCAGTCAAAACCCAAATCTAACAAGATCTCTATTATTTTCTCTTTTCCAATCCAAAATTCCTCTACACTACACCAGAGCAACCGACACTAAAAGAATTCCTGTTGGCTCTTTGACGGACCAGAGAGCCCTGCCTTGGCCTCATCCACCGTATGTTCTCCATCGGCTCGTCCAGAAAACGGCATGCGAGGATCGGTCTCGCGGGGGCGGTGGGCTGGCCGGGCGGGGCGGGCGACCCTAACGGGACCGCGGACAGGCGCCGGGCCATGAACCCGCGGGCGGGCGGGCGGCCTTGGGGACGCGGCGACACGCCACGCCACGTCACGCACGCCGGACCCAACGCCGCACTGGGCCAGAAGGCTCCGAACGAAAGTGAGCAAGTGCGTCATTCGCCGCGCCTAATACGAGCGGCAAGCGCGGTTACGGAATAACATGTGCGGCCAAGACCGCCCCGCAGTTTTCTCATTTCCGCTCGCTTCAGTTGCTATTCAATGTACTTACGTCGCCTATGCATGGCGTACGTCAGTCTGCATGGGTCAAGAGGAGCATTTACGAATAAATTAATAGTAATAACTGTTGCATAAAACGTAACTATCGAAAGTCACTCAAGATTGAGATAACGATGTTTATTGCGTCAGCATTCTTCATTCATAGGAGGAGAAAAACAATTAATAATATGCATCTCTTAAAACGATGTTATGAAAAGAAGAAAGAGGTAAAATCAAATTTCCTTTTTTAACGAAATTTAAGACACTAGAACGAAGCGAAATTTCTGTAAATAAATCGATTAATTTTTACGTACGTAAAATTTAATTTACTCCGTTTTCGCATTTGAACTGACTAGCAATATCTGATTTAGATAGCTGCTTTTTCATCATCTTCTGGTTCCTCATCGTGCATTTCGGTGTCTTTCCTGCCCACTGTCCTCCTTCGCCGCCGCGCCGTCGCAGCCTCCCAGCCACACGCGACGCGCCGCGATACCCGCCCGCCCGCCGGGAGCGGCGTTTTCCGCGCCGATTCCAGCACGCGAAGACGCTCTCAGCCGGCGGGGGGGGGGGGTTCAGCCTCCAGGGCCCCGCGGACGGAGGCGCCCATTACCGCCCCCACCCCCGCCCAGCGCCGGCGCATTGCCATTGGGACGTGGACGCTGTATCGAAAGGGACAGCTCCAATTATTTCTGGCTGAGGGAATCGCGTGCCAGTTTGGTTTCAGGGGCAGGTGCAGAAAGTGTTTTGGAATGGGGAGGCGGAGGATTTCAGTTCAGACTCCCTGAATACTGTGTACGAGTATAATTGTATCTCATACTAGGAAACTGCATTGGATGTGATCAGGCCCATCATTGGTAATTATTTTGAATAAACTGAGAAAAATTACAAAAACGTTGGTTAAGGGGGCATGTTCCCGCCCTACTTGGTTCTGCCACTCATTAATTTTTATCTTTCTAATAATACATTGGTTTTGTTTGCAGTTGATCGGTTTTGAGAATCTACAATACGCAAAAATATCTAATTTGTTTCTAGAAAGTCTGCTAAATTACTACTCAATGAGGTTTCATTGATACAATTTATTACCCCAACATGTATGAATTTGAAGCAAACTAGAAATGTTTTTTAAAAGTTTCACTTATGTGTCAAGGAGATATTTTATTTGTCCAGGTAATCCAAGAATTAT